CTAGCGTTCTCCTTGTGAGCCTCTCACAGACCGCCAGCCACCGACTTCAAATCCACCCTCACCCAGGGTTGGCTGCACCTAAACTGAGTTGATCTGCAGAGACTATGTTTCCAATAGTGCCACGGCCACCGGAATCAGGAGTTAGGACTTGGGTGTATCATGTTAGGGGGTACAGTTCAAGTCAGCAGCCTTCTGAGCTCAGCTCTCCGTGAGACCCATCAGTAGAATCCAAGAGCCAGGGGCTAAAACCTGACAAACTGTGCAATCACTGGAACCCAGATGATGGGAGTAGAGAACCTTCCGCCCTCCAAATTGAGAGAGAGAGGAGGGAGTGACCTCAAGTCCCCTGCACTTGGGTCTCACCAGCTGAGAAACTTAGGATGAGACCTTTCTCCCCCATGGGCCTCACTTTCCTCTCCTCTGACATCAGAACCAATGGCATCTGTCCAGTGCCCCTAGTGTGGGTATTGAAAGGGGATGCAAGGAGACAATTCAACCTATCCTAGAGTGATATGGAGTCCAGGGTCATGTGACCACCCTGCAAACCTTGGGAGAGGACAGAGACCATAATGTTGGAAGTCAAGTGTCTCCTTCTTTGTGAATTCCGTAGCCTTTGCATACAAGACTGACTCCATAAGCTTCAGGCGGGACAGGGAGGAAATAAACGTGACCACACCCTTCACTGGAAACCAGCACTGCGTGCTCAGTCCTCCCACATAGTAGGGGGCAGTGGAGATGGCACTCAGTACATCTGAAGTGTGGACACACACAGCAAGCCTCAGGCAGAGGGACAGGTGTGGGCCATGGAAGGCGTTTTATGACACTGGAAGGGATCCTGTGGCCTGACCTGGGAGATGGCCCTGCCGCGTTTACCTACTGTGTAAATCTGGTAAAGTCATTAACTTCTCCAGCCCTCTGACTCCATAATAAGAGGGGGTAGAACTGAGTGAAGGGTATGCGGAATCCGGTGAGAGATGAGATCGGACTAGAGACATGGTGTCCTAATTTGTAACTCTCTGTTGAGCAAATTACATCTGTTAGCATCTTCTCCTATAAGCAGGAACACTCGATACTCTTGTGTGGTGGGTGTCTGAGGTAATGTGTGTGAAGTGAGGAGACCTGTGTGTGAGCCAGGCTCAGCAGGTGTTCCCTGTAATTGTCACCATGGTGACCATCCTCGTCCTCATTTGCAGTTCCTTTTAGCTCTAAATCCTGTGACCTTCTGAGACTGGTAAAATAAGGCAGCGGTGCTTTGAGTAAACACACCTTCTCATAAGGACAGGAGGCCAGTAATTGCCCCTAAATAATCGCTCCAACTTTTACCACAAGCTGTCGAAAGGCCCTAATTGGCCAATCAGTAACAACTACAGCCATCTGCATTAGGGTGATTTAGCCACGGGGCTCTGTGCACGTGAAGACCTCGATGATTATACACGGCGGAGGTGATATTTCTCCCTCCGCCGGAGCACTGGTGTGAGGCGCCCACCCGCGATCTCACTCACAAGTTAACGACCCACTGGTTGCATGCAGCCCAAAAGCAACACGGCGCAGAGACTTGCGGATTTTCTCTTTTCTTGGAGAGACTGTTCCCACAAGAACAACCACCCGCCAGAGCTTGGCCATGCCTCTTGCTGTGCTTGCGCCTCACTGCCTGAGCGCCAACCAGACCAGGAGTGCCTAACGGGCTCAGCCTTGCTCTGTATGTGAACATAATCTGTCCCCAGTATATTTTTCAGTTGTTCTGCCTTCACGATGCCAGGCAACACAACCCGAAACATCCTCTGTCCTAACGAGATTTCTGGAGTCTTAAGTCTCTGTGACCCACAGCCGCTCCTCAGAGAGGTTGGAAATGGTACCTGGGATGACCTTCATGGTTCCACAGGATCCCAGCAGGTGGATGTGCCAGGGTCCAACCTCCACGGGTTCATACATTTCAGGGTGGGGTGTGTGGATTAGAAGTGTTAGGCAGAAGAAACAGAGGTATGAAAGAGATACACAGAGACACAGAACAGTGTTGGAAGGGCAGCTCAGGGAGTACTGAATCTGCCCAAGTTTATTTTTCATATGCCGTATATACCCCAATCCGAAAGCGAGGAAGAAGACAAAAGACTGCTTTGCTATGATACAAAAAGCAAACAGAGTAATTACCTCTTCAGTACCTGAAACCTCAAGTAGCTATACCCTGAGTTAAGTATTCTGTTGTTTAGGCAGGACAGGCAGCAGTCACTCCTAAGGCCAAGCATCCTGTAGGCAGCCACACCCTGGATCAAACCTCCTGTCATAGCCTTGAAGGAACAGGAATGGACTTAGACTCTCTGACCTTTGATCACAGTGGAAGGAATCCACATCCATCCCCATCCACGGGCTCCCACGTGGACGTCCCTGTCACCAGCACCCTCTCCCTTCTCCTGTACGTCAAGTGCAGGGTCCCAGATCACCTGTTCTGTCAAACCTGACCTCCAGTTCACTGCTGGGGAGGAGAAACTAAAACAGAAGCCAGGCTTGACCCTATTTTTACTTGCCGTTGTTTTTGTTTATTTGCTGTTAATTTTAAACGGCGCCAATTGTGCGTTTATGGATTAATATCAAGTTTTCTTTAAAAGCAAGTACGGGGGCTGTGGAGATGGCTCAGTGGGTAAAAGTGATTGCCACAAAGTCTGACAACCTGAGTTGGATTCCTGGGACCATGCAGTAGAAAGGGAAAACAGATTCCCACCAGTTGTTCTCTGACTTTCACACGTGGCATACTTGTGCCTCATACGTGTGCATACACAATGCATACATACACACTGAACAATATGGGCATAAGGATCCCCCCCACCTCCATCCCCCAAGACTGGGGTTACAAGCATACACAGCATGATTGATTGATTGATTGATTGATTGATTGATTGATTTTGGTTTTTCGAGACAGGGTTTCTCTGTAGCTTTGGTGCCTGTCCCGGAACTAGCTCTGTAGAGCAGGCTGGCCTCGAACTCCCAGAGATCCGCCTGCCTCTGCCTCCTGAGTGCTGGGATTAAAGGCGTGCGCCACCGCCGCCCAGCATGTTTGTTTTTTTTTTACATGAGTGCTAGGGATTCGAACTTAGGCCCTCAATTTTGCACAGCAAGTACTCTTACCCACTGAGCCATCTCTGCGACCCTCATGCTGTGTTAATTACTACAACTGTATAGTAAGTTCAGTCAGCAAAGAGATCAAGAAACATGAGTCTTCCAACATTTTCTTTTCTAAAAGACCTCCACTATTCTAGGTCCTTTGTTGCCATATATATATCGAGACAGAGTTTTGCTGTGTAACAGTCCTGGCTGTCCTGGAACTCGCTTTGTAGACTAGGCTGGCCTTGAACTCACAGAGATCCACCTGCCTCTGCTTCCCTTATGGTGGGTTGAAAGGCATGTGCCACTACCGCCTGGCTCACCATATAAATTCTAAGAGCAGTTTGTTCACTTTCCTGAGTAAAGGGGAGCATCAACCATCACTAACTGTGGCATAAGCTACAGGGTTTTTTCATTTTTTTGTTTTTGGACTTTTTTTTTTAAGCCATCCTAGATTTTCATAAAATCCCAAGCCCTAATAAACATCAAGCGGGACTTACAGGAAGTCTGGGACTTATAAGTATGAATGTTTGCTGATGTATATTTATGCACCGTGTGCGTGCAGTGCCCTTGGAGGCCAGAAGAGGGCACTGGTTCCCTTGGTACAGGTTTGGATCCTCTGCAAGAGCAGGAAGTGTTCTTAACCACCAAGCCATCTCTCCAAACACTTTTTATTACATTCTTTAAAATATTATCTTGTGTCTACAGCCACAGCACCTTGAACTCACCTAGCCGCATCTAATCTTGGAAGCTAATCAGGGTCAGGCGTGGCCAGTACCTGGATGGGAGACTGCCTGGGAATATCAGATGCTGTAGGCTTTAAAAGGAGTAACTTATTTTGTGTGTGCCTGCGGAGAGGGGAAGGGCTGCACACACATGCCACAGGGCAGGTGTGGCTCACAGAGGACAGCGTGAGGGAGTGAACTTCCTTCCACTGCATGTGTCCCAGGGATTGAACTCAGGTATTCAGGCTTGGTGACAAGTGCCTTTACCAGAGAAGTCATCTTACTGGCCTGAAAGAAAATCGCCAATACTTCTTCAAGACAGCTTCTCCAGGCTTAGGGCAAATAACCAGCCCATGGTAGAGTAAACAAACAGGAAAAGCTGCCATGTACAGTAGAGGCTGTCTGCTTTGGTTTGGGGGTGGTGAACAGAAATGTCATCAACACAGTGTGTGTGTGTGTGTGTGTGTGTGTGTGTGCGCGCGCGCGCGCGCGCGCGCGCGTGTTCGTGATGCCACCCACATCCACGGTCGGTCCTTCCTTCATTTAATCTTCTCTGGAAGCGCCCTCACAGACACGCCCAGAGCTGTGTCTCCTAGGTGATGCTGAATCTAACCAGCACACCCTCTGTCGTGTTTACAGGTTGCCCCCAGCCTCGGTAGCTCCCCACACCACTCTCCTCACCTGTTTCCACCCAGAACTTAAGCTGAAGCATCTTCCCAGGTTGCGTGGCCCTCCCTGAGCCAATCACAAGAGATGGAGCGCCATGATTGGCTAGGCCTAAGTCACATGCTGCTCCCACTTACTGGGGGTGTGGGGCAGTCAGCCTGCCCAAGTTGGATGGACATAAGAGGAGGGTCAGTCTCCTCAGGAAACAACAGTCTTTCTATCAGGAAATGAGGGGATAGGCACTAGGCAGGCATAAGCAGATGCCTGAGCCCCCCCCCCCCCCCCCGCCATCCTCGCCTTTGCCTGTGGAGTCTCTCTGTTTTCCAGTCCTGCTGCATCGCCGAACCTCTGTGAGCCTCAGTTTCCCTGTTTAGATATTGGCTCTGCCCTTCTTGACTCTATCTGAGGCCCACAAGGCAGTAAAGTGGGAATCAATGTCCAAACCGTGTTAGGGGATGGAGTGATCCCCGCACGACCACTCTGGCCCACCTCTGTCCCTCTGTCTCCTCACAGAACACCTGAAGAAGCCACTGGAGGACTACATGGCCCTTTTCCCCAGAGTGAGGATTCTCCGGACCAAGAAACGGGAAGGCTTGATAAGGACCCGGATGCTGGGGGCTTCAGCCGCCACCGGAGACGTCATCACGTTCTTAGACTCGCACTGTGAAGCCAACGTCAATTGGCTCCCCCCTTTGCTAGGTAAGGAGTGGAGCGACCTGGAGTGGGTGTGTGGCCGACCACCCCACGGTGACCCTAGGACTTCTGATAGCACCCAGCAGAGCCCCGGGCTCCAGAAGGGGCTCAGAAGTTCAGGCCCGTCCCCTTGTTTCACTGAGCAAGAAAGTGTTAAACGTCACTCAGATGGCCTGAGGTCTGTCGGAGAGCAAGCCAGAGCTGTGTACCATGGAGAGCCAAGTTACAGAGCCTGGGGGCTGTAGCTCAGTTGGTAGAGCACTTGCTTAGCCTGCACGAGTCTCTAGGTTTGATCCCCGGTATCGCCCAGCATAAATGAAGAACGATGACACATGCCTGTCACCCTCGCACTTGGGAGGCAGAGGCAGAGGGATCCCAAGTTCAAAGTCAACTTCAGCTAAATACTGAGTCTAAGGCCAGACCGGACTTCATGAGACCCCATCCTTAAACAAAAGATCCAAATTGTGGTGGGGGGAGGGGGCGTTTTTATGTCAAATGAGAGTAGTTATTGCCTAGCACCAATGCTGTGAGCCAGGCAGGTTCCAGAAAAGGTCACCAGGCCTCACAATGGTGCACGGGGTTGAACTGGTCTTGTCTGTAGCCAAAGAAACTAAAGTTGAGATGCTCAGTGACTTGGTTGTCTCCTGGGGCCACTGATGTCCAAGTCACCATGTATCAGGCATCAGAGTCTGTTCTTTTGCACACTCCACACTGCTTCCCGGGTTCCTTTCCTCTCAGATGCCCAGGAGGGAGGCTCGATCCAGGAGCCTTCCACTGGACTTATATAGTGGAGGAAGACCAGAACCTTCCACCGGACTCTGTGGGGAGAGCCTGGGCAAGAAGGACTCACAGTGAAGGAAGACCAGGCTGGAACTTAAGGAGTTCCGCCCAGATGGAGACACTAAGCAGGTACTGCCAGGCAGACACCTAAGTCAGGTGTCCTATCAGGGCTGAGAGACATAGCAAGGCGGGGCCAGGGCAAGTTGTGAGGTCAACACCCTCAAGAGGAAGAGAACTCAAAAGCACAGCGTAGGCTGTCCATCTCAGAGGTGCATAATTCCCAAAAAGACCCATGATGCCCCAACCAGACACTGCACCCCAGACAGGGTCACTGTGGTGGCTGGGGGAGACCTCAGCAATTGTGTTTTCAAGCTTCTGCCAAGGGCTACCAGGTCTAGCAACCACAGCAGCAAATGCCACCATGTGGGTGAGGGCCGAAAGCCAGCCTCATACAACCCCACAGGACAACCCAGCCATCTTTGGTTTTGCTTTTGTTTTCCTGAGCACAACACTGAGAACTTCCTGGATCAGGCACTCCTGACGATTGCGCCCAGGATCTCACTGGACTGAGAGAGAGAGAGACCAGAAATTCTGGTAAACTGCGTATTTAATTAAACCAGGCAATGGCCTGCATCTCCCTTTCATTACCAAGGGAGAGAATGGAAAGGCCTGGGCCTCAACAGCCGGCACATTAGCAGTCCCGGGGGAGCAGCCGTGCGCAGGGTCCTCTCGTGAGAACGAAGCGGTGAACCACTGGGTTGAGCTTGTCCAAACAGCCCTTAACTCTGTTCCTATGGAAATGGGTGAGAGCTGTTTGCATCCTCGGCAGGAAGAGGACACATCCCTCTCACTCTTCCTTTCTCCCCCTCACGTAGAGACACAAAAACCTGCGTGTGGATCCCAGCATGGCTTTTGTCTGTGAATCCATTAACACCTCCTAGCGTGGCCAGCTCTGCCCTCATTAGTGATCTGACATTATGGAGCCCGAGGACTCAGCCTGCTGGGAAAGCTACCCGAGTCATCCTCTCCTTATTCTTTGTCACTGTCATCGTCCTCTAGGCTTTGAGAGTCCCTCTGAGTTTAGGCCAAGTCTGTACTTGGATTTGACTTACACAGTCCAGCAGGCAGGCTCAGCATTCTTACCTGCATTTTGCATATGGCAATGGACAGAGGAACTTGGACTCATAATGGCTGCTGTGAGTGTCTTGCAGTATCCATCATGGTCATGGAAAATGGGGACTACCAGCATCTCAGTCTTCAGAGACCCTTGGTGTGGGGCATTTCATCCTCCTGTGCTCAACAAAGAAACCAAAACTCTGAGGCCTCAGCCAGTCAGGTCCAAAACTGCACTATGAAGGAAGGGGTGACATTGGGATGTGAACCTGGGTGTTCAGTTCCCAGACAAGTGCAGCGACACAGGCCACTGCCATCTAGCAGGGCCAACTGTCAGCTGACCTTGGTATCAGCGATCGATGGAAGTGAAATCACCTCAGAGGTATTGAGTAATTAGACAGGGGCCCTTCTATAGATCTTTCCCTCAAGGCCCCTAAGCATCCTGAAGACACACTCCCACCCAAAGGAGCTTGTCCACAAGCAGATCAAAGCCACATACCGGGGATTCTGACTCAGTGGATAAGGAGAACAACGGAGGGGTAACATTCACCCCAAGTGCATCTAGCGTTGGTTATGCTACTGTTCATTTGGGGAGACATCCTGCAAGTAGCATTTCTGTAACTCTGTATATGTGTATGCCTGTGTTAGTGTGTGTGTGTGTGTGTGTGTGTGTGTGTGTGTGTATTGAGGTTAGTGCATGCTAGGCAAATGCTCTACCGCTAGGGTACATCTCCAGCCTCTGCAACCGTTTAAACCATGTGTCCCAGTTGGAAGTGCAGTGGCCGCCTCAACCTGCACACGTTGTGGGACTAAACCATGCTTCCTGACATCATTTTGCCTGTAACAGAATCTGCTGTCTCGTGAAGTGAGGTTAATGGTCGCTGTTCTCCAGGCTTGCATGCATGTGTGCATGTACACACGCATGCACGTGTACATACACACACACACATACACACACACACACACACACACACACACACAATTTCACCACTCACCTTCCCGCCTGAAGGTCATGCCTCCAGGGTAGAAAACAGGCACAAATGCTGTTTTGTGAGAGCTGCCATGTGGCTTGATGAAATGTGGGCCCTTCTCTTCTCTAGCCCTCTAGGGCCTACATCGCAACACTTGAACATGACCCATGAACCTTGACCCTGAGCAGCAAGCTCCCCAGCACAGCCTATCTGTGCAGTGGTCCCCTCAAAGCAGACAGAGCTCCCTGTAGGAACAACATAGGGTAGATCAGACCAGCACTGAATCCTGTTGGAAGATTGGACAGAGCGAATCGGTCAGCTCCTCCCAAGTTGGAAAGGGACCCTGACATGGACTGGGTCAAGGCCCTGTTTGCCATCTTGAACCACTAAGCCTGTAGCATTCCATAGGGTGGCAACCACTACCTGCATACCTTCTGACTTGGGAACCCAGAACTTCCAAGGGATGTCCACTCCCTCTTGCATAGCTTGGGCTGTTTAAAAACTCAGACCGAGGGGGCTGGAGAGATGGCTCAGAGGTTAAGAGCATTGTCTGCTCTTCCAAAGGTCTGAGTTCAATTCCCAGCAACCACATGGTGGCTCACAACCATCTGTAATGAGGTCTGGTGCCCTCTTCTGGCCTGCAGGCATACACATAGACAGAATATTGTATGCATAATAAATAAATAAGTAAATATTAAAAAAAAAAAAACCTCAGACCGAACTCTCACTGCTGATCACAGCCATGGTACCCATGAGCTGTTGGGGACAGACATTAGGGAACCTGGCTGCTTTTAGCCAGGAGTCACAATCAGGGTTTTTGCAATAAGGGGCGTGGCAAGGCCAGAATAGGGATACTCACAGAAGAACATGTCAACAGAAGCACATGTCAACAGCAGAGCCACACACTCAAAGCCACATAATTTGACATTTTCAAATACTGTGTTATTCAAGCATTTACTAACCCCCAAGGCAGACCCTCCCACCCCACCTCACAGACAACCCTGGGGCTTGGAGATGTTGTCTGAGGCAGTGCCTCCTGTGGTGCTGAGTCTGAAAGAGTCCTTCTCACAGAAGCCTGCACACTCCAGACACATACCTGTGATCCCAGCACTTGGGAGGAGAAGGATGTCAAGGCCAGCCTTGGCCACATAGTGAATTGAAGTAGGGTCAAGAGAATCGTTCCCAAGGTCATCCTTGCCTCCATAGTGAGTTCCAGGCCAGCCTGGGCTACATGAGACCTTGTTTAGGAAAAGAAAACACACAACCCTGCGGTGTTCTCTGTGGTCCCTGAGCAGCTGTTCAGGAAGGTCATCCTGGGAACTGTTCGGAGTAAGCACCCCATGGAGCAGGAGCTGCCCTCCACTGCCACACCCACTAACAGGCGTGTCTCTCTACCACCTCAGACCGCATTGCTCGGAACCGAAAGACTATCGTGTGCCCAATGATTGACGTCATCGACCACGACGACTTCCGGTACGAGACACAGGCCGGGGACGCCATGCGGGGTGCCTTTGACTGGGAGATGTATTACAAACGAATCCCCATCCCACCAGAGCTGCAGAAGGCTGACCCCAGTGACCCATTTGAGTAAGTACTACTGCTGTAGGCTCATACTGGAGGTGACCCAGGGCCCCTCCTGACACACCAGGAATCTTTATTTATCCTCATGTCTCATGCAGAGGGTCCATGGTCCTGAGCCCACTCAGAACTGAGAGCCTGTTATCTAACCACTAAAACCGTCTAATTCTCTCACATCTTGGCTGTCTCACACATACACCCCCTCTCTTTGCCAAGCAGTCATGCCCCAAGTGCAGCAGCTATCCTAAGCCACCAAGGGGTTGCCATCCCCTCCCGTAGCCCCCCAACACTGCCTTCTGTACCGCCACAGTTCCTTGGTGAGGGAAGCAGGGTGGAGGGTCAGCAGTTTGAACTTGTGACTTAGAGGCAGGGCCAGACGCCAGCCATGAATAAACAGTGGCCATGAAGCCTCCCACAAACTACCAGGGACGGCTGCCGTGTCACAGGGGCGAGGTCAGGATAGCAACAGTGATCTCCAGCCCCTCTGAAGATTGAGCTGAGAAGGACACCTGAGTACTTGCAGGATAACCTGTGGTGTGTCGTGCCCTCAGTAACATCCCCGGGGTCCCCCCTTGTATGAAGGTCCCCTCCACCTCCCACAAGGAAGGCTTCAGAGGCATGTGATTAGGTGCAGCCCGGCTACATCATTCTGTGCCATGAGACCTCAGACCACGCAGGGGCGTATGCAAAGACGCTATCCCCCAGCATGTTGGTTTGGATTCTTCCACCCTCAGACTGGGGCACAGACCACTTCTGCTCAGTGTTGCCCTGCGTGAGGCATCGTGGTGTCCTCTGGACCCTGTCATGTCACACCCTCACTCTCCCACCCCTCTGTATGCCATGTCTGTGCTTTGCTGGGGTAGCTCCCTCCTTCCCTGAGGGGTTTCCCCTCAACAAACTTCTTAAGCACATGTTCCTCTGAGCATCCTTCCTTATTCCCTGTCCTTGCCTCCTCACTCCCAGGACTGGAAGCAGACACAGTCTTTGCCTTCCTTATTGTTCTTGTCTGTACTTCCCAGAGGCCTTGACTATTTTCCTCTGTCTCCTGGAGTCCTCTGTGCTGAGGTGACTCCACCCAAAGGACTGTGGTTTGTTTCCCGGCCCCTCCAGTACCTGCTTCATGGGAAGCCTTCGATAATAAATCAGTGAATGAATGAGTTGAGTTCATCCTTTTTCCCGGAGCATGTGGGAGGACTGAGCTGGTGTCTGTGGGCAGTGCAGCCAAGCAAGCTGTGTGAGCTGTCTGCTGAGCTTGGTGAGAGAGAATCCTCAAAGGAACCAAATCTTAAGCAGGTGCTTGGGCCCTGGCCCAGAGGCTGCTTCCATAGGGCTGGCGAGGTCCCAGCAAGCTGTTATTTTTCAGTCTCTCTAGAAGGTTCTGCAGCACATTCAGGCTGAAGACAACTGGTTCAGACCCTGCAATGAAGGGGAAGGCTAGAGACAGACGTGTCTGTGATGCAGCTGTGAGACCCATGAGGACGGGTGCTGCTGTTGCCGATGGTACTTCACAGACACCTCAGGTGTTAATCACACCAAGGGACCAGGGATCCATTAGGTTAAAATGCAGTGGTTTACAAGAGGAAATGACAGTCAAGAAGGCCAGGTCCCCACCCACCCGTGAGGAGGCCTTGGAGCCCCCTGTAGACAAACTGGGTGTCTGGAGACGCTGTCGGCTAGGAAGCAGGGCTTCTGACGGCACGTCCTCACACCATGCCCTTTCTCCGACAGGTCCCCCGTGATGGCTGGAGGGCTGTTTGCTGTGGACCGGAAGTGGTTCTGGGAGTTGGGCGGCTATGACCCTGGCTTGGAGATCTGGGGAGGGGAACAATATGAGATCTCCTTCAAGGTGAGTCTCTTCTCCCACATGCAGCTGCTGTGGCGCCTGTGTTCCTTGGTAGGAGGAGCCGGGAGCTGGCTAACCACTTCCTGAGGAAGTGGGCAGTGGGAGGGTGAAAGGGACCTTCAAGCCGCCTTGTCTCAGCCACAGATCTGGCCAGCATTTGTGTCCTCTTGGCCTGGGAAGGTTGTGGTGGAGCCACACACCAGCATTGGGAAGATGAAGACAGACAAACCTAGGCCTTAGGCCTTATAGCCTCACAGAAGCCCACATGGCCTACGTGGTCGCCTTCTACGCTATTTGCTTCTTGCGCCTGTCACAGCAGGAGTTGGCAGAGACTGCTGGGCGGAAGCTCCCACGGTGGCATTGGAAAGACCTCAATCCAAGTTCTAATCCTATCACTCAGTGGCTTTGCCTTTGATCTGTTTAGATCACTTCTCCAGGTAAATGAGACCAGTAACTCACACACACACACACACACACACACACACACACACCACAACACACGTACACAGCCCAGGACAAGGGAAGGTTAACTGAGAAGACTAAACGTGCTTAGCCCAGAGCCTGGACCACAGCCAGAGATTAGTAGCTGGCAGACATTGCTAAGGATGACATGAGTCAATATTTACTGTCACCTCTGGATCAGCCTAGAGCCAACAGTGACTGTGAAGGAGTTGCTAGATAAGCAGCTAGTTTCCCACTAGCAATATAAGTGTACCTTCAGCTCTGTGTGTGGCCCCCAGGAGAAGGCGGCTCTGCCCCCGTGAGGGGAAGAATAGCTTCTCCTATACTCCTGTGGTCCTTCGGGACCAGTGTCAAGGGCTGGTAAGATGGCTCAGGGGTAAAGACGCTCTCTACCAAGCCAGGTGACCTGAGTTCAGTTCCCAGAACCCGCGTGGTAGAAAGAAAGAACCATTTCCCCCAAGTTGCCCTCTGTACGCATGCTGTGGCATTCATGTGTGCGCACGCGCACACACACACACACACACACACACACACACACACAACCGGCATCCAACATGACCAGCCCCTGGCTGACAGGTCCCCTAACCCATGAGGGACAACCAGCACCACTACTGGGTTGAGCATCAGGTTTCAGTGCAGTGTTGTTCGGATGCCAAGCACTGTGGTGAGGGACCTCAGGGCTGGGCCCAGGTGGTCTGTGTCAGGTCCCGGTTCGGCCACTTCCAGTAGCAGCTGTGCAGTCTTGGACCAGGATGTCTCCCCTCACTGAGCCTTAATTTCAGTTTCTATAAATGAGGCTAGTGGTTATATGGCTCTCAGTGTTGTTGAGAATTAATGAGACCATGCTTGCTAGAGGCTGTTTAATAAGAGTCCTTAAGAGCAGTATTACTATCAAGATATCGGTATCATCTAAAGAATTAGCCACAGAGTCAGACCTGGGGACTCCAAATGGCTCCCTGGAGTCCTGCCCAAACATTTCCCTGCTTTGATAAAGCAGCCTGCGACACTATTAACCTCCAGGTCCTTGGTGCTGTGCCCTTGGAGAGGACCAGCCTCCCAGATAACACAGATGTTGGTACCAAGGGGTAATGCCCAAAGTATTTAGCAAAATATTTGGCATCAACCAGCTGGGGCAGATGTCCCGTGATAGCTCACCTCCAGCCCTGTCGGAGTTAACAAGATCCCACACCAGCCCTTCACACGTGTGGGGCTGTATAATCCCCCCAGCCACCCGTGAGGGTACTGCCACTGTTATACCCACAGCACGGGAGCAATCAGGACTCAGACTACCCAGTCTGCAGTGACTGGGCCACCAGGGCCTGACCCAAAGCTTGCCAAAGTCCACATGTCAGTCTGTTGAGAAGAAAGCAATTGAGAGGGAAACTAGCCTTAAAAAACCGGTTACATTCAGTCACCCTTGCTTCAGGTTTTGCCCCTCCCTGGGGTCACTCCTGATGGCTGTTCCCTGGGCTCTCTTGCAGAAGATCTGAGTTCAAATTCCAGCATTCGCATTGGGCAGCTCACAGCCCTCTCTAACTCCAGCTCCGAAGGATCAGACACCCCCTTGTGGCCTCTGCAAGTACGGCTCTCACTCATGCAAACCCACACTCAGACACATACATACATAACTTAAAACAAAAATCAGTATTTTTCAAGAAGAAAGATAAATAGCATCTAAGTCTCTCCCCCAGGTGCCCGTGGCCTATTGGTGGAGCCCTCCTCAGTATGTGCACCCTCAGGTTGTCTCCCAGCTCATCACACAGTTCAGTGAATGATGATGTTTGCCTTGGTCCAGGTTTTGTGAGCCCCAGCACAGAGGTCTTGCCTGTGGGGCCAGTCTCCCTAGCCCGTGTAATCTTGTTTGACACATGCTACATTCCGTGGGTGCAGTGAAGTCAGGGATCTGCCCACCAAACATCAATTGATGTCATAGTCTTCCAGGTTTGTCTCCAGAAAGAAACCCATCCAAACTGCGGTGTTGCTAGGTAATCAACCGCAATAGATCCTGGATCCTTTTGTGTCTAACTCGCTGCTGCATCCCCAGCAACTGAAGGATTGCCTGGTGTGAATATCTGTGGCTGGAGATGTGTGACCCAGAGCAGCTGTGTCACTGGCTGGAGCCGCTTCCAAGTTCCCCCGGCAACTTGTTCTCCAGAAACCTCTGCCATGGAGAATGGTGGATTGTTATGCTGTCGGGAGAATGGCGCATTGTTATTTGGGATCTCTGAACCCAAAAGGACTTCATTTTGTTCCATGTGTTTCAAACACCTAACGCCACGCATCGGAACATCACAGCAGAACAAATGGTGGTTTTGGTCTTGGGTTTTTTTGTTTTTTGTTTTTTGTTTTTTTTTTTTTTTCTCCACTCGGTTTATTTACAAAAGACTGGGTAATGAAGCCACAGTGGAGTATCAGGAAGGAGGCTGGCTCGCGTTCCATCTGATCCAGTTATGTCAGACACTCTCCCGGGGAATGAGCTGTTGTAATGAGTAGGCCTGGCCTCGGGGAGGGAGGCGTCCTTCCTTCAGCTCTCTCTTTCTCTCCTGGCCAGCAACAGCCCACCTGTCCTGCCTGTGTTCCAGGCCCGAGGCAGTTCTGTCCATCTGCTATGGTGTCTCTCTGAACACAAGGTTCTACTCAGCCAGGGTTTGGCCTCTCCCAAGGGCCAGATTCCCTTTACTGAGACCCCATCCTTCATGGTGACAGAAAAGACACTGGCCTGAAAGACACCAAGTGCACTTCGGAAATTATGATGGATCTTCCTGTGCCGCTGGGCCTCACAGATTAATAACCTAGCTCCGATTCCACACTTCTTGGGAGAACCCCAGCAGACCCGTTCCAGGGCTGAAGATGGAGCTCGGTGTTAGAGCGCTTGTCCAGCAATTGTGAGCTCCTGCCACAAAATAAGTAAACAATTAAATTCACTATTGATGAATCGGTTGGATATGGTGGCACACACCTGTAATCCCAGCACTCAGAGACTGAGGCAGGAGGGGTTTGGTGAGTCTAAGGCCAGTCTGGGCTACCTCACAGAATTCCCTGTATTGGAAGAAAGGAAGGAAAGGAAAAGAAAAGAAAAAGAAAAAGCAAGGGGCTGGAGATGGAGCTGACTTGCTAGAGCAATTGCCCAACGTGTGCAAGGCTCTAGGTTCGATCCCCAACATACACTAGCTTGGCAGTGCATGCCTGTGATTCTCAACACTAGGAAGCAGGAGAATCCAAAGTTTAAGGTTAGCCTGGGCTACATGAGACTTTATAATAAAACAGAGAAGTTGCAGTCTGCAGTGTTTGAGAGAGTCACTGGTCCTTTCTTTCTCCTATCCCCGTCCCCAGCGGGCTGCTGTCTGAGTCAGAGGTCATTGTGTCAGCATCCCCTACTTGGCGCATGGCATCTTGTCAGGCTGGTTAAGTAATGGGTTCTGTAGCTCAAGACAGAGATACCATTTCTTTCTATGCCTCCTCCTTCCCCTCTGAACCCGTCATTCGATGGGACTCTTATACCAGTAGCCCAGACCAAAAACAATGTAATAACTTATGTAAAGGCCAGGCTTGAAGGGCTGACCGTTCCCTGGTAGGAACCCTCCCTGTTCTCCAGGTCCAGTCTCTACCATGGCTCCCTCTCCAGGGCTGTCTCCTGTCGCTCCCCAGCAGCCTGTGGGAGCCTGTGGGAAGCTCCTTGCGTGTCCTTAGCCTGATGGCTGTCAGTCTGTCCCAGAGCCAGCTGTAGCCCTGGCCCTCCTAGATTCAGAAGGTGGGATGCTGGAGAAGACTTGACCACAGCTGCCTTAGTTTCCCCAGGTGAAGCTGCATTGGCTGTGAAGGAAGAAAGGACCTGAAGGTGCCATGTAACTGGCTAAGACCAGAGCCAGGACTGGGCCTTGGACCTACCATGGTTGCCATGGCCCAGTACAACTCAGGATACCAACCTGCGTCTCTGGCTTTTCTGTCCCAGAAAAGGGCAACCCCCAGTTTGGGGAACCTGTCCCTCCAGTTGAGAGATGTTTGTCACAAGACAGAGGTGATGGAGACCATGACAGTGACACACTCTAGCCTCCTGTGTCTGCCCCACTTCTCCCAATGCAAAAAAAAGGCAGACTGCATCCAGAGAAGGATGGGCGAAAGGCCTCCCCTTCCAGCCTGTGGCTGCTCTCCTGACTAAGAACACAGACACATGAGACCCTTTCCCAAAACAAACAGGAAGACCTGAGGCCCCAGCTGACAAGGCTGGGCACTGAAGCTGGCTGGGCCTGGTCACTGGCCCCAGGAGGACTGAGTAGGACAGTCCTCCACTCAGATAAAGAGTGCCACCCGGCAGAGATGCCCATGACTGCTGCAGGAGGATGACAGCCGAGATGCATCTGTGCATGTGCATTTAAGAGGAAAGCAATGAAGGGGCTGGAGAGACAGCTCAGGGGTGAAGACCACTGGCTGCTCTTCCAGAGGAGCCAGGTTTGATTCCCAGCACCCACACGGCAGCTCACCACTGTCTGTAACTCCGGTTCCGGGGGATCTGACACCCTCACACCAAAGTACAGCAGATAAAATTAAATAAATTATTTTTTTAAAAAAGAGAGAGAGAAGCAATGAGGAAAAGTGTATTCCCCAGCTGTGAGGTGGCCTTGGAGGTGTCATGTCAGGGCCTTGCAGGGAGGGTGGGGAGGCAGCAGAATTCAGGGTGCTAGAAGTTCTCCAGACAAAGGAAAGAGCTGTGGGAGAGAGGAATGGGACAAGGGATGGTATCCTCTCATGCCGACAACCTGTGTGAGATGCCTCTTGGGTAGTCCACGTAGACTCAGTAGTCAACAGCAGGTTTAGCCTGAAGGGAACTCCCGTTCTGAGCCGGCCACCAGCAGCACCCCCATCCTGGGCAGGAATCCAGAGAGGAAACCCAGCCAGATCCTCTGCGAGCTCAGGACATCCTATGCGCTGGGAACACCTTGGATCCCTCAACCCTCCAGCAGAGCAAGGTCACCCTGAGTCCTTCAAGCTGGCCAGCATGGCCAGAGCCAAAGGAGTTGGAGGACCCACAGAAAAGAAGACTTTGGATTTCATTTGTTCCACTCGTAACGTGTCTCAGGAGATGGTCAGAACCAGGGTAGGCAAGTCGCCCCCGCCAGCTTGGCACCACCACCCGACTCTCAGAAAGGCAGAGGGTGGCCTGGCAGTGAGCAGGCATATCTGCCTTGCAGAAGCAGACTTGTCCATCAGTCCTCAGCGAGGGGAGCCTGGTGGCCGATCAATATCTCCTGCTTTAAAAAATAAATTTCTTGGCTTGGCCTTGACCTTAATCTAGCATCCAGAGCCCATTAGCTTGAGACCAGCGTTCTGTTCACTTGACTAGCCAGGGTTTCCTTCTTTCCCACTGTCTGAGGAGGGCTGCACTGCCCAGACAGCTCCTCTGCTAACTGCAGCCTCAAACACCTCCTGCATGAGAAATGGCACACAGGACATCCTGCATCCATCTTGGCAGGGCATAGTAAGACCCAGGACCTTTTGAGAGCCCTGAATAGATTAGGACATGAAGCCCAGCCCCCAGTGCGCCCCTGCTGCACGGAACTTGGGTCATCCGTGTCCCATGCCAGCCTCCCAGTCCACAGGAGACGGAATGTGAAAGAAAACCTGGTTAATGTCCCAGAAACAGCTAGGACCCTCCAAGCCCAAAGCCACCGTGGCCTCGATTCTGGATTGTTGTATCTGCACCCACCCCATTCCATGAGCAGAGTCAACTTTGTATAGCTGAATGCTACGAAGAAGCCCTGTCTAGCCGCACCCTGACAAGAGCCCGCGCCTTCCTTCCCTTCCCTCACACGCCATTGGACTCCAAGCCTCTGGCATCCATGGCAGTGTCTGTGCCTACCCCTGAGCCTTTGCACACTCGGTGTTCTCGTCCCCGTAGACCATCCCAGCCCATGAGGACAGTGTCGCAGCCTCCTCCCCCTCCCACTGACCCCCTTCTTTTCCCCAGCCTGTCCCCTTCTACTTTCGTGTCTCATGTGCATGGGAACCAGTGAGCTCAACTAGTGTTATTTATTCGCAGGATGGCGGACACCTTACCAGTGGCTACACCACTGAAGAAAATGTCCCTTCTTCCCTGGCATCCCTTAACCCCTCATTCAACGGGGACCGCTGAGGAGCCCAATCTATTTTATTTATTTCTATTAATAAATTTGGGGACTTCCATGGCACACATGTGGTGGTCAGAGGACAAGCTGGGGGAGTCTCTTCTCTCCTTCCACCATGCATATCCCAAGGCCTGGCAGTAGGTGCATTTTACCCAACGAGCCATCCGTTGACCCATGGCACCCAGTCTTGGGCAGGTCTTATGCAGGTGACCACAGCTGCTGTGAATTCAAGAGCACAGTGGCCCCGTCGTGCCCACGGGTTTCTGTCCTACCCTCGACATCCATCTCTCCCTGACTTCCTGTGCATCTCAGTGTCTGCAGTGGGTTCTGCGCAGTTTGGAACTTTGCTCAGCAGCTGCGACTGGCAGCTCTTTCCATAGCCTTGCAGGTATCTTTCTGCACAGCTTTTGAGTTCAGGGCTTGAGAAAACCATGCAGACTGTGTGCTGACATCCGAGGGGCTGGGAACATAAGGATAGAGTCATCACCTTCATCCTCCCTTCTCGCCCTGCAGGTGTGGATGTGTGGGGGTCGCATGGAGGACATCCCTTGCTCCAGGGTGGGCCACATCTATAGGAAGTATGTGCCCTACAAGGTTCCTGCTGGAGTCAGCCTGGCCCGGGTAAGAGGGTGGCTTTCCAGGGAACTGGGGGCAGCCTGGGGGAGCTTAGTGGCCCCAGGGGGTCCCAGGCGAAGTGATTGCTGGATGGTCTCCAAGTGAAAGCCAACTGAAAGGACCTTACAGAGAGCCCTGCTCAGCTCCGTGGAGGCCGTGGGGCTGGGAGGGAAGCTAACTCCTCTGAGGTGGTGGGGCTGGGAGGGGGGCGAACTCCTCTGAGGCTGCCTTTGCAACTTTGTTGAAACGGAGTTGATCCTTTCAACTCAGCACTGCCCAGCGCTGCAGAAAGACAGGAAACCCATGTGTTAAGTGGAGCGAGCTGGTCATTTCACAGGAGGGCTGCCTGCAGTAGAGATGACGGAGACACAGAGCTAGACAAGGGGTGGTTTAAAGAGATATGTCAAGCAAACACGGTAGCCATGTTATCACTGTTGAAGTGGGGGGGGGGCATAAAAAATAAATGGCTCTCTTTACTCCTGCCCAAACGTGTCAATCTGCTCCATTGGCCTGAAAACCATGTCAAGGATTGAACTAAATTGGGGGTAATCATTATCAAAAGAATTGGGGGATGGAAGTTCTTTTACTGGGGAAATCTTTTTTTTTTTAAACTAAAAAATAAGGGTGATCTCGAAAATAAGTGAAGGAGATGCCCAACCACAAGGGTGGGGTTAGAAAGATACAGTGCTGTTTGTAGTACTAGAAAGGCCAGAGTGCAGCCATGCCCAACAAAGAAGCACTGAGAGACCTTCTGCCTGGGTTCCCAACTGTCTGCTTTTCCAGGCCTTTCCAGGAATTATTTCCTCAGCTTCCAGCACCGCTGAGCCAGAGCATGGCCAGGAAGGCAGGATGGCAGAGTCCTCTAGTGGCGAGAGTCTCTAACGACAGCCTCCAGGCCCACTGCTCTGTGGGCAGCCCCTTAGCAAAGGATATGGTTTCCAGATCAGGCCCACCAAGAGATGGAAATCTTCTCAGATGCCCTTGGCCTTCCCTACAGAATGCCAAACAGGAAAACAGAGCCAAAGTATTTTCATAAGCCAGAGACTGCCACTCTTGGAGGCTACTAGGAACAGGGGGATCATGGCCTCTGAGCAGGACCCGGGACCTGCCCTACTGCATCCTTTCCCAAGCTGGAGATGAATAGCGGGGTGCTGGAGGGCTTCAATGACACCACAGAAGCCTGCCTTCCAGCCAGGCACCCCGCAGAGTAGCAACACACTGACCTCCCTTCTCCCTGGCTTCCATTCTCCACTTCCGGGCTGGACAGAGGAAATGAAAACGTTAAATAACTCCTACTCGTGCTTCAGTCTGACAGGCACATGCATCTGTTCCCTACGCAGCGACTGTGACTGTCGACATGGGTGTCAGTGGCTGCACCCCTGTTAACAGCTAACGCTGGACAGTGGGCACCCATCTCTCATGTGAATCCCGTTCAGGCACCTGACATCCCTGGCCTTCTGTCCTGAGTCAGGGCCTGTGTCTGACATGAGCTGGCCCCAGTGGCGCATCCCTCTCTCCTCTGTAAGCCCAGCTTTCCCCTGTATGACTGCACGGGAGGTGCCTGCGCCCACCGGAACTGCAGCTGTACTGCCATCATTTAGTTCTGGGTCAAATGCAACGTGTTTGGGGGATAGAGAGTTCAAAACCATACCAGGCTTCATAGTCAAGACCCTGTCTCCAAAGACAAAAAAAAAAAAAAAAAGTTGGCTCACTTTTTGGCAACCAGATTCACAGGCTTTCAGGGCACTTGCCTCCTGAATGACATTTAGAGGTTCTCAGGGCCCTGAGAGAACCAGCATGCTCTCTTAATGGCTCATCCGCCTCTAGAACAAACACCGGGTCTTACTGCACAGGCCTGTCCCTGGAAGTGGGACTCGAGAAAGGCATTCCTACATCAGGTGGAGGGAACAGGCCGGGCCAGGCCGGCCAGGGAAAGAGAAGAGTCCCTGTGTTCTAGAATGTTCTTGATGCCCAGACCCTGAGGCCCTCCACTTGCGCCAGGCCCAGCCTTTGCTGCACAGGCACCCAGTGGAGCTCGCTCTCTTCCAGTGGGGACAGTGGCTGTAAGGAAGTCTGGCTGTCTCTGGAATCAGTCACAGAGCCCTTCCACAGGGCAGGGTTCCCATGCAGGGCCTCCCTGGTGTCACCATGCCTCAGTGTATGCTCAGGAGAAGGTAACTTTCTGCCCGGGTCAAGAGCTAAGAGTGGTGTTTCACAATTTTAAGACACTGGAGGGGAACCCAAGGGACTTAGGACACCAGGTTATGACACTTGAAAATCAAATGATGATTGACGTCATAAAGTTTTATGGGTGCATGGCCACGCTCCCTCATTTACTTAGGCCCTGGCTGTTTTTACAGCGCCATGCCTTGAGACCATCTGGTCTGCAGAACTCAATTATCTCCACCAGAAAACACTTAAACATTTGTCCAGTCCCCCCGCCATGCTGTCTGCTCCTAAAGCAAACCTTTACACACAGGTGTCAATAACTGTTACACTTCAGAGGAAAATTCAGATTAACCTCAAGATGAAAGTCAAGCCCCTCCAGTTCTGTGTGTGTCTTGAGGGCGGGGAAACAGACACTCGCCATTGAAGGAAGCCTGGGTTCGAAGGAGGAGGTTTGCAAGCAGGGGCTCCCTCTGACTTACGCTCTTGTGTTCTGAGTGGAGCACACTGCAAGAATAGAGGATTTTCACATGGTTGACACACAAGATCTTAATCTTCCTGTCTCCCGATTGCTCTGCCCAAGGCTGCCCCCACCTAGGGCTGTCTCCCCCATGGGTTGTTGTTTTATAGTTGGCTGTCCTGAGGCTTTATCATTAAGCTCTCAAACCTCTGAGGATTGCGAGAAATCCCACCTGCTGGTAGGATTAGGAGGTCTGGGTGCAAATTATTCTTATCATGGAATTTGGCCACAACCAGTTGGTGGATAATGACAGAAACCCAACTCACATTGGCTTTGAAGAGCTGGAAAAGTGGCTCAGTAAGTTCTCCATGTGCCAATGAGACCTGAGTTTGCATCCTGGCACCCACGTAAAAAGCCACCGATAACCAGACACCTATAACCAAGCCCTGCCAGGGGAAAGCAGGATAGCTGGGGTGTACTGGTTACCAGCCTAGCTCCAGGCTCAGTGAGAGAGAGACCCTGCCTCAAAAACTAAGGTGCAAGGGCCTACCGGCTGGCCTGGGCTCCTCGGGAAGCCTGAACCTTGCGTATGTCTTTCATTCCAGAACCTGAAGCGAGTGGCGGAAGTGTGGATGGACGAGTACGCGGAATACATATACCAGCGCAGACCAGAGTACCGCCACCTCTCAGCCGGGGATGTCGTGGCCCAGAAGAAGCTCCGAAGCTCCCTCAACTGCAAGAGCTTCAAGTGGTTTATGACCAAGATTGCCTGGGACCTGCCCAAGTTCTACCCACCTGTGGAGCCCCCAGCAGCGGCATGGGGGGAGGTGAGTGTAGATGAAGCCACTGGGCGCAGGCACCGAGAGAGCGTGCCCAGGAAAGCTGTGCCTCGGTCCTTTCTTCCCTTTCTCTCTTGGACCCTGTCATGGCGGGGCTGGGTTTTGTTTTCTTGTGCTGGTGAGTGTTCTGAGGAGTTAAGATGGGTCAGCATCCATTTCACCTTTTGACCATGAGACACCTGCAGGGGCTGGGCCCTTGGGCTCGCAGTGCCAGGGACAGGAACCCAGGAGCTTGCTCATTCTAAGCTGCACTCTTCGGACAAACCAAGTTCCTAGCCCGTGGATCCCAGTGGCAGCGCAGACTAAGAATACAGAGGTCAGGTTCGGAACAACCGAGCTGTAATGTCCTCAACTCCACTGGTTCTCCTGTGGTTCATTAGAACCTCGGAAGCCCGTCCGAGACTAACTCAACTGCCACTACCTTGCCTCTTGGTGATGTGTGTGTGTGTCCTAAGCAAATCTGCAGCTCTGGTCCCCAGCCTTCATGGCTGAGATATGGGGTCAGGGCCATTTTTGTTCTTTGGAGGGGGCTGGGGAGGACTCCTGCTTCCTTCTGTCATTCCCTTGCCCTAAAGAATAATTCTAGAAGGATGGCAAAGATACTGTCCCTGGACAGCTACTCCTCGGGCGCCTAGAACGGGGGTCACATTGGATCCTGGATCTGCTGGGTGGAATGCTTTCAGAGTGAGGCCGCTGAAGGATATTGGCCTCCCTCCTTCCTCCCTCATCTTCCCAGGCTTTAGGAACAATGTCACTGGGGAGCCACTGGGATCCTGTCCCTCACAGTCAGGAGGACCTCCTGCAGCCTGGGGCAAGCTCCTCTAAGGCAGAGTTCAGCCTGTCTTGGTCTCCTCCCAGCCCATCAGGGTCCAGCAGACGCCTTAAGGTGCCTCAGCGGTTGCCCTTCCTTTGTCCCCCTCAGATTCGCAATGTGGGCACGGGACTGTGCACAGACACGAAGCACGGCACACTGGGCTCTCCACTGAGGCTTGAGACCTGCATTCGGGGCCGTGGAGAGGCTGGCTGGAACAGCATGCAGGTAAGGGATGCTCAAAGGGACTCAGAGGTCCTCACGCTTAGTGAACAGAAACCTTTGTCAACCAGAGGATAAGTCTCGGTGCTCCCAGAGCGCCGGGGGGGAAGGGAGACGGAATTCCTGCATGTGAAGGGTACTACTGTTCATCTGGACTGTCCTATAAACCCCCACCCTCATACTTGTAACCAATAGGCATTTTTTGGCTCATTTCACTAGTGTGTGTGTGTGTCCATGTACGTGCTTGCTCTGGTTTCTGTTTCTATACCTGAATGTCGTATTCCGAGTATTTTATAAAGAATAGATGTTTATTACCTCTCAGTTCTCATGGTTCTGCAGATTCAAGAGCACGACACAGCCTCTGGCCAGCTCTATTGGGGACCTTTCTGCAGGGTAATGACTCAGAGAGGGCACTGCCCTAGAAGGCAGCATGTGCCTTGTCTGTCTTCCTTGGCTTATAAAATCCCTAAACAGGGCTGGCTGGTAAGATGGCCCAGCAATAAAGGTGCTTGCTTTTCAAGGCTGAAAACTGGAGTTCAATCCCCAGAACTCAGGGTAGAGGGGAGAGCCAAATCCCAAAAGTTTCCCCTGACCAACACACTCATGCTATACAGGCCTCACTATGTAGCCCTGGCTGTCATAGAACTTGCTGTCTAGACCAGATAAGCCTCAAACTCAGATATCCTCCGGCCCTTTTGCCTCCTGTAGACTGGAATTAAAGGTGTGCACTATGCATGGCCTATAAATATAAATTTAGACAAAAAGCACTGGGAAACAAGTGTTTGCCCCATGTGTGCAAAGCCCCAGATTTAATCCTCAACACCACTGCACTGACCGTGGCAGCACACGCCTGTAATTAATCCCTGCCCTCTGGAGGCTGAGGCAGGAGGTGGGAGATCAAGGCAGGTGTGTGCTGTCAAGACCTTAACTCAATAAGTAAAACAGCAGGCCTCTCTTTGGTGCACCAGTGTAGATTCCTTTGAGAAGAACTGGGTCACATACAGTAGGTTGGGCTTCATGTTTGAGGCCCCTCCACACCGATTTTCACAGGGGCTGCACGAACGTTGAATTCTCCCCAGGGTAGCAGAGTCCCTTGCCCTGTGTCCTTGTCAGCTTCTGTCACCATTTATTTTCTTGTTGGTATGAATTAAAAACACAGATGTACTAAAAGCATAAGCAGTGTTCACTGCTCAGGCCTCCTCACAAAATGCGGCAAACCCTGCTGGTGGGAATCAGCAGTGAGTAAAGGAAGGTTGGCATCTCCTTCCTGGAGCTCCCGGCCCTGCTGGCCCTCCTTTCCATGCCCCTGTGTGAAGTCAGCACAACCCCAGCCTTCAAGAGGCTTATCACACAGCCCTGGCTGGCCCGGAGCCCCGCTGTGTACGCGGACTTGTGCACGTGCAATGTTCTTAGTGGACTGCTTTTTAACCCAGAATCTGGAGACAGCCCTGCCATGGGGAAAGACACACGGGAAGCAGACAGTACAGTGACATCAGGGAGCGAGCTGTCGGTAAATGTGCTGGCTGCTAGAGTGCCCACAAGGAGATTGAGTTGAGAAGAAAGAAAGGCAGACAGACAAGGGGGAAGACATACTGTGATTCCAATGTTAGAGAGTTCTAGTAGGTGCTGCTGAATCTAGTAAGAGAAGGCAGGTCTCTGGTGGCCTGGGGATACCATGAGGGGACTGGAGGGAGATTGGGTCAGGGAGCACAGGAATCTTGGAGAGGGATGGGCTTGTTATCCTGTAAGGGTGGTTGTAGGCAGTCCAGCCACACCAACTGTGCACTTTCTGTGGGGACAGAGTATAGATGGTTAGCAAGCCAGGCATGGTAGAACGAGCCTATAATTTCAGCACTCGGGAGCTGGAGGCAAGAAGATCGGGAGCTTAGGACTATCCCTGTCCGTATAACACAATGGAGCCACCAAACAATAGACTCCATCTCAGAAAACAAACCGGCAAACTGAAAGGCGTTTCTCAGTGTTTGCTGCTTCGATAGATGTCCCTGTGTTTGCAGGTCTTCACCTTCACCTGGAGGGAGGACATCCGGCCTGGGGACCCTCAACACACCAAGAAGTTCTGCTTCGACGCTGTCTCCCACACTAGCCCGGTCACCCTCTACGACTGCCACAGCATGAAGGGCAACCAGCTGTGGAAGTACCGCAAGGTGGGGAGCGGTGCGTGCGGGATGGGGGAGCAGACCGGGGAGTGCAATGCCTCCTGCTTCTCCCGGTGGATCCCGTCCACCCATCCTCTCTGCTGTTAATCTAGCTCTGAGAGAGAGGGCGGAAACCCAGATTCATGCATTTTAAAAAGAAAGCCACCCAGGGAAGTGGTGGCACGTGCCTTTAATCCCAGCGCTTGGGAGGCAGAGGCAAGAGGATCTCTGTGAGTTTGAGGCCAATCTCATCTACAGAGCTAGTTCTGGGACAGCCAAGGCTACACAAAGAAACCCTGTCTTGGAGGGCGGGCGGGCGGGCGGGAGGGAGGGAGGGAGGGAGGGAGGGAGGAGTAAAAAGAAAGCCAGCCAGGGTGTGGTAGTGCACATCTTCATTTCTGCCTTGGGAAGGCAGAGGCAGGCAGATCTCAGTGAGATTAGGCTAGCCTGGTCTATATAACAAGTTCCAGGTCAGCCAGAACTATGTAGTGAGACACAACAAGGAAGGAAGGAAGGGAGGGAGGGAGGGAGGGAGGGAGGGAGGGAGGGAGGGAGAGAGAGAGAGAGAGAGAGAGGAAAAAAAAGAAAAGGGAGGAAACAAGCAGTCAAGCCCTACAGCAAGGACCGAGTAGTGTTTTGGTTAGAAGCAGGCTGCGTTAAAGGTCCTGCTTAGAAGTAGCATCCATCCCAAGGAAACGGGACATGCTGGGCCATATCTGGCCAAGAGCAGGGCCCGCAGGATATGAGCATCAATTGAATCGACTTCTTGCTTCCTCGTTGCTCTCGTGGCTTCTGTGTCCCCCCGCCCCACCTGACAACCTCCCTGTCCCATAGGACAAGACCCTGTACCACCCTGTGAGCGGCAGCTGCATGGACTGCAGCGAAAGTGACCACAGGATCTTCATGAACGCCTGCAACCCCTCCTCCCTCACCCAGCAGTGGCTCTTTGAACACACCAACTCTACGGTCTTAGAAAAGTTCAACAGAAACTGAGTCCTCAGACCTCCTCGACGAGCCCCCTAGGGTTGCTGTGGAGCTTACAAACCTTCCTCCCGTGGGAGAAGGGCATCTGTGGGCACCAAGGTGCTGGGCCAAATGGCTTGGGACAGAGAGTTCTTGAAGCACTTGTGTGGTGGGGCCAGAGGGAGAAGAGGCCATACAAATGGCAGCGCTAAAAGGAGGCAGAGCCTGCTTGTTTTATAGCAGAGCTCCTCAGGCTGTCAACATGTCCCCTAAGGGGGGAGGAATACCTGGGGCAGCCTCAGGCCAGAAAATTAGTCCTATGAGGTTGCTCGGCTCTCGGGCTGTTCAGACATGACAGTGCCCTGGAAAGAAAGGTGGCATTGGCCTTGGAATAGCTTTGAAGCCAATGTGGCAGCCGCTGGCAAGGCAGTGTCCCTGTCCCAGGGGAGACTGCCAGTATTGCCCAGCTTCTGTGTTGGTCCAGGGCAGTGAGAGCCCACTGGGACCTCAGAGTGTTCCATCACTAGGCAAAGGCCCCCTTACTCTGCAGCCAGATGTAAAGGATATCTCCCCTGGCTCTTTGGGTATTTCAGATGCCCATTCCAGCTTCAGGGATGTCTGGGTACCAGGTTTTCAGGGCTAGTTCAGCTAACTAAGGAGACCTCCAGACTGAACAGCTCCCAGCCCATGCTTCCAAAGTCCTTTCTCTATGTCTCTCCTTGGCAGCTCCCTGCATCAGAGAGGAATGGGAGAGGGGCTCACCTCTAGAATCCGCTGGGGGCAGCGTCCCCCAGATAATGACCATTGTGGTTCCAACCTCAGAGAACCCTGGAGATTCTGAAAAGTCCTGCGGTTCTGTCCAAAGCTAAGATGAGCCATGGGGTTCGCAGGCATCCAATGCAAGCAGCCAAGTGTCAGGCAACCCCTGACCCGAGCCCATGTGTGACCCTAGGGGTGGAGGCCGTGGGGGACCAGTGCCTGAGCATCACAGCTCCAGCCTTGTTAATAGTGAGGATCTCATGAGCTATTGTCCCCTCACCAGATCACCCCTAACCCCTCGTCAGGGTTCTAGGGGTCTCAAACAAAAACTCACCCTCCAAAGATTGGGCCACCTGATCGTGTTACTTACCAGTGGAGTAACGGATCCGCGGTTCTAGGGTCAGAGCTCTGCCTTAGTAATTCTGGTACTGAGGTCAGCAAGCCCCCGGGTTGGCCAGGTGGCTGGTGTAGAGCCACCGCCACACGTCCCCTGTGCTGACACAGCTCTCGGGTGGATTCCTGGTGTCCTTGTGGCCATCTAGAAAGGAATCAAAAAGGGGGTGGACAGGTGTCTAGAACCCGGTGGGGATGCAGGTTGCAGCCAAGGGGAGTCGAGTCCTCGGAGAGCACTGTGGCCTCGTTACAATAAAAACTGTGCCTTTTACAAAGAGAAAATGCAGCCGAACAGCCGATTCCCTAAACTTGAACCACTTCCTAGTGCCTTGCTAGACAAACAAACAGGGGCGGGTGGAGGAGGGGGGGGTCCTGTGAGCTGAGGGACTCAGGCAGGAGGTGCTAGGCTTGAAGCAGAACCTGAGATCCAGAGCACCCCACAACAGGGGCAACTGCCTATCTGTGCAGGAGCCCTCCCTGGGACAGGACGGCTCGAGGAGCCTGCAAGTTCTAGGGCCCTGGCAGCCTGTGCAGGGGACATGCCAACCCCCAGAAGTGCTCCGCCTGTCCCTCACTATCAAGGGCGAGATGACCAGCTGGATTTCCAGGTAATGTCAAGCCAAGCAGATGGTTAAGGCAGGGGCAGCCACAAAGCCATCCCCAACGTAGCTTGTTTATGACCGTCCTCATCTGGTTCATCCCCCTTCTTAGGTGGCCACTTCCTCTGAGCTCGCCTCAGAGCTCACGGACAGAGCTGAACTCTGTCCGACCTGAGGGCATAAGACTTGAGGAGGTAATGTCACAGGAAGGGCCAGGTTGATTTGGTGGCTGACTGCAAATGCTTGCTTCCCACCTTGTTTTGATGTCAGGTGTGGAAATCCTTTTCTCAAAGAGTCGGGTTTCCACTCAGCTGACAGTCCACACAGGCAGAAGGACCTGTGGACATGCCACTGGCCAAGTGATGGGCCAGGCGGCTAGCGCCTTTTCCTCCAAAGCTTTATTCAGAGGCCGAGATCACAAAACAAGATGTGGTTAGAAAGGCAGCATCCCCCACAGCCCCATCCACCCAGAAGATTCTGGAAACATTTTTGGAATGCAGAGTGTCCTTGCTGTGAGGCTCAGGCCTTCACGTGGCTAGCTGTCCTACCCTCTTCTGCCAACTGGAGTTCCTGGCTTTGAGAGCAACCAGGTGGCAGCAGGCTGCTCTCAAGGGCGATTTCCAAAGTCAGCATCACGGTGCCTCCTCAGTCCCCCCCCTGTGGCAGTCATTCCTGTGCGTAGCTGGGAATCGCAGACTCTTGGTTTCAGCAGTCCCTGGTTCTTGCCAGTTAGGCAGCTTGCATCCAGCGCTCAGGGGGTGTTGTGTTTGTAGTTTCCTAAAGGCTGGCAGTGGGAGCGGGACGACGCAAGCGTGCAGTTTCGCCCTTGAATTTATCAACTTGCCCCTAACGCTTTCTATGACAAATCCGTGTCATAGTTGGGTTCAAGGTTGTTTCTGATCCAGAGTCCTGCTGCCACCATGGGGTGAGAGTGGTCCCGGGTTTCAGGACTTTAATATGCCCCACTCTGCTCTGTGACTGGCTGGAAGGCTGGGTCCCCAGGGCTGCAGGTAGGAAAGCTGGGAAATGAGACAGGAATTCTGTGGGGAAAGCCCAAGACCAGCCATCCCTTCTGCCTGAAAAGACTGAACCTGTGAAGGACGACCTACCACGTTCAGTTGTGACTCCGATTGTTCAATAAACCTCCAGATTTTCTCTAAAGCGGTTTCTGCTGTGTCTCTTGTCACCTGCCTTTCTGTCGATGTCCTCAGAACGCTGAGCACCTGCCCAGCATCCAGATGTCCTGCAGGGCACTGAAACCAGTCAAAGGGAAGGCAAAGACGAAAGCAAGGATGATTGTGGGTGCAAAGCATTGAGGATAGCTAACCAGGTTGTCTTAGAAACTGCGGTGAGACCATCAGGAAACACCCTGCAGAGCTGAAAGACCAAATCAAGGAGAGGACCGAAGGCAGCTCCTGCAAAAAGCCATGAGACAAAAAAGGGACTTGGGTGTGGAGAAGCACAGGGGTGAACTCCACGACTCAGGGTCTTCTAGATTAGACCAAAAGGGAGGGAATTCTGAAGGGTGATGACAGGAACAAGCTGAGTTCACTCACCAGTCACAAATAACCTGTTTATCAAAGTATTTCTAGACTGTTTGGTATGTAGTACCCCCTCCATGAGACCTTGGGCAACTCCTACCCTCATTGGGCTTCAGTTCACAGTTCAATGACTAATGTTTGAATGTATTGTCTCAGAGGAATCCTGAACTGAAACTGGCCCTAGTGTTGCCGCATAGCAACCACCAGAGGGTGCTGTGGACCAAGAATGAGGACTCTGGCCTAAAAGCAGGTGGAAGAGAGTGTCAGCCTTCTTAAAGGTACACACTTGGAGTTGGAGAGATTGCTCGCTGGTTAGGAGCACTGCTGCTGTGCCAGAGGTCCCAGGGTCAATTCCCAGCACCCACATGGCAGTTCACAACTATCCTTAACTCCAGTTCCAGCGGATCCGATACTCTTTTTTTTTTTTTTTTTCCAAGACAGGGTTTCTCTATGTAGCTTTGGAGTCTGTCTTGGAACTCACTCTGTAGACCAGGCTGGCCTCAAACTCAGAGATCTGCCAGCCTCTGCTTCCCAAGTGCTGGAGTTAAAGACATGAGCCACCACCACCCAGCCTAATACTTTCTTATCTGATCTCTGTGACCAAGCCCTACTGGTGTGGGAGGTCCTTCTGTCTATGTGTTGCTTTTATTGGTTAATAAATAAAGAAACTATCTCGGCCTGTGATAGGACAAAAGAACAGAGCTAGGCAGGGGAAACTAAAATGAATGCTGGGAGGAAGGAGGCAGAATCAGAGAGAAGCCCTGGAGCCACTGCCAGAGTCAGACATACTGAAACTTTGCTGGTAAGCAACTGTCACGTGGTGATACACAGATTAATGGAGATGGGTTAAATTAAGATGTAAGAGTTAGCCAATAAGAAGGTAGAGCTAATGGGCCAAGCAGTGGTTTAAATAATATGGTTTCTATGTGATTATTTCGGGGCTGAGCATCTGGGGACCAACAAGTGGCCTTTCACTACACCCTACACAAGGTACACATGCATAAGTACAGGCAAAAACACTCAAAGAATAAAATACATACTGTTTTTTAAAAGTGGCTTAAGGGTCAGGAGGTGGTGGCACATGCCACTAATCCCAGCACTCAGAAGACAGAGGTAGGTGGATCTCTAAGTTCAAGACCAACCTGGTCCACAGAGCAAGTTCTAGGACAGCTAGAGCTGTTATAATCCTGTCTTGGAAAAAAAAATTTTTTTTTAAAGTTTTTTAAGGGTCTGAGAGATGCTCAATGGTTACAGCACCTGCTGCTTTTGCAGATGACCTGGGTTCCCAGCACCCACATAATATCCACACCTGTTTGTAACTCCAGCACCCACATGATGGCTCACAACTATTTGTAACTCCAGTTCCAAAGGATCCTATGTCCTCTTCTGGCCTCCACAGGTACCAGGCATGCACGTGGTGCACAGATATATACATAGGCAAAACACTCCTACACATTAATAGGTAAATAATTTTTAAGGTGGTTTTTTTTTTTTTAAGAAACTGTGGCACAGTGGTGAATGACAAAAGAAAGTATCGAGGGCCTACTGTTTGCAGACATTGGCTAGAATTTGAAAGACTGAGTAAGCAAGAACCAAGGTAAATGGCATACAGGATCTGTCCTCCTGTGGAGCCCCTTTACCCTCTCACGTTCAACTGCCTGGCTTTACCAATATGTTGGGAGATGCTAGGTTAGTTCATTTGCTTGCTGGTTAAAAATGAGTGTATGTGTACAGCTATACAGAGTTACAGGTAGGTGTGAGCCATACTACATACATGGGTGCTAAGAACCAGAGTTGGGTCATATACAAGATAACAATCAGTCTTAACTAATGACCCAGTTCTTCAGCCCCCAAAGAGCTGGGGGGGGGGTGGCTGGCTTTTCCAGACAGGGTTTCTCTGTAAAACAGCTCTGGCTGTCCTAGAACTCACTTTGTAGACCAGACTGGCCTCGAACTCAGAGATCTGCCTGCCTCTGCTGGGATTAATGGCATGCACCACCATGCCCAGCCTCCAAAGTGCTGGTTTTGGTTTTTTTGTTTTGTATTTTGGTTTTTTGTTTTGTTTTGTTTTTAAAGGTTTGTCTATTTATTATGTATAGTGTTCTGTCTGTCTGTCTGTATGATTGCTGGCCAGAAGAGGGCATCAGATCTCATTACAGATGGCTGTGAGCCACCATGTAGTTGCTGGGAATTGAACTCAGGACCTCTGGAAAAGCAGTCAGTGCTCTTAACCTCTGAGCCATCTCTCCAGCCCCAAGGTGCTGTTTTTAAAGCCCTTTGTACCTATTGTCTCCACCTCTCAGAAGAAGTCCATGAAACCAGTGTGACATAAATGCTGGCTTTTCGTTCAGTTTCAAGTAGCCCAGATTGGTAAGCGTGTCCTTACGTCTAGCACTCAGGGATGTTGAAACAGGAAGATTATGAATTCAAATCCAGCCTGGAACTAACTCATGAGACCCTGACTCAAAGCCAAAAGCTGTGGCACATCTCCTGAATGACAGACTCTACCAGAGCCCTGCTCTGATCCTCTAGCCCAACAAGAACAGACTCTGATAGAAGTAAAGGGAGTCCGGCTTTAGTATCTGGATAAATTCCACAAAGGAGACCTTGAGATTTTTAAGACCCTGGAGGTCCAGGAGGATGCTGAATGAGAACTCTAAGTTCTGGGCGCATCGTCACCTACTGTAATGGTTTGGATAAAAATGGCCCCATAAGCCCATTTGTTTGAATGCTCAGTCATTAAGGAAGGGCACTGTTAGAGAGAGGAGGTGTGGCCTTGTTGGAGGGAGCCAGTCGCTGGGGGCGGGCTTTGAGGTTTCAAAAGCCTATACTAGACCCCTCCCCTCTCTCTCTCCCTCTCTATCTCCCTCTCCCTCTCTCTCTCTCCTCAGCTACTTCTCCAGCACCATGCCAGCCTGCCACTCTGCTTCCTGGTGCTACACTAAGCGCCATGATGATCATAGACTAAGCCTCTGAAGCTGTAAGCAAGCCCCCAATTAAATGCTTTCTTTTATAAGAGTTGCCTTGGTCTTGGTGTCTCTTAACAGTAACAGAACAGTGACTAAGACACGTACACCCTGGAAACCTAGGAGAGTTCAGTGAAGGGCCTGCTCATAGACAGTGGTTGATGGCTGGTAGGGCTGGAGAGACACCTCAGCAGTTAGAGCACTGGATGCTCTTGCAGAGGACATGGATTTGGTTCCTAGCACCCACATGGTGGCTCACACCCACCTCCAACTCCAGTTCCAGGGGATCCAGTGCCTTCTGGCCTCTGAGAGCACTAGGCATGCATGCAATGCACGTACATACATGCAGGCAAAATACTCAGATACATAAAAATAAACCCAAAAGGTGGCACACGCCTTTAATCCCAGCACACAAGAGGCAGAGGCAAGCAGATCTCTATGAGTTTAAGGCCCACCTGGTCTACAAAGTGAATTCCTGGACAGCCGGGCTGTTATACAGATAAACCCTATCTCAACAAAACAGAAATAGTAATAAATCAAAAAACCAACAAATTAAAAAAAAAAAGTGGTTGGAGCCTGAGGAAAACAAATGGTGAAGATTGGGGGTGGGGGCAGGTAGATCCAGCCACTGCCCAACAGGAAGGGATGGGGGAACACAGTCCCTGTCCTCTGCTCTCCCTGTCTTAGGGCATCAGCCTTTCACCTCAAGAAATAAACGACTCTAGTCCGGGATTGCTGAGATGGTTCAGGTCAAGGTGTTTGCTGTGCAAGCCTGACAACATGAGTTCCGGTCCCAGAACCCACAGAAAGGAGGAAGGGAAAACTCACTCTCCACGAATGGCGTCTGACCTCTGCATGGCCCACACACGCACCGTACATACAAAATGACAATAAGGTAATCTTTTGGCTTTGTTGTTATTGTTTTGAGGCAGGGGCTCACCATATAGCCTAGGTTGGCCTTAAGTTTACTAAGTAGACCAGGTTGGTCTGGAAGTCAGAGAGATCCACCTGCCTTTGCCTCTGCCTCCAGAGTGCTGGGATTAAAGGCAACATAAATAATTTTATTTAAATAACTAGTCAAGGTAGCTATATAAGTGCTGGGAATGGAGCTCAGCAGTAGGTCACCGGAATGCTCTAGGCCTTGAGTTCAATTCCCAGGACTGAAAAGAAAGAGATAAGTGCACAGGGAAATCCAGAAGGCGGCACAAATGTTTCTATTGTTACTCTGCTATCTGGTTTAAATAAAGACTGCATAAATTAATAACAAAGCTATTGTGGGTGGACAGTGTACAAAGAGGGGTTTGATTCCCATGGTAATAATCAGCAAGACAAGGGACACTAGCAGGAACAGAGCTGCGTGACGACAAAGTTGCTCTATGCAGCTGACTTTGCGTTGCTGCTCCAGACTAGGATGCTTTCCATTAAGAGGTTAATTGAGGACTGGGGGCATGAGGAGGATGGCAGCTGCTCCGCACCATGCCCTCTGGCTTGGGTGGGTAGAAATCAACCAGCATCCGACCTGATAATTCTGGTACAGGGTGTTTGGGCACTATTATGGTGAGTGAATACAGAATGGGGAATTGCGAGAGAGGAAGAAGCGAATGATTCATGTGCTGGAGAGAGAGGTGGGTCTTAGAGGGTGAGGGTGATCAAC